TTTTGTTTTGTTTTGTTTTGTTTTGTTTTGTTTTGTTTTGTTTTGTTTTGTTTTGTTTTGTTTTGTTTTGTTTTGTTTTGTTTTGTTTTGTTTTGTTTTGTTTTGTTTTGTTTTGTTTTGTTTTGTTGGAGATGTTTTTGCCATAGGGCACGTTCACTCGCCAGACAAACAGAGAGAGACAGAGACAGAAAGCAAGAAATCACCCCCCCAGGGGGGATGGCCATGCTGCAATCTCTTCTCCTCCATTCTCCTCTTGGGATCTTGGGCACGTATGCACACGCGCCCGACGTGAATTTTAAGCCACCGGGTCCAGGACCCAAACCGCGGTCGACTACATGGGAGTCCACCAACATAGCCATTACACCAACTGCTGGTCCCCTAGGCTTTAAGTTTTAAAGAAATTTCCTTACCAATTCAAAACTGCTTTTCTTTCTTTTTTTTTTTCTTTGAACCAAATGACTTAAATGTATTTTTAAAATTAAACAATTAAAAACACTTATTTCCTCAGATTTAATACACATAATTTAACAAAATAGATTTCACCTCTTTAATATACATATAGTCTACTATAAGCTTACTCAAGTTTTTAATTTAAAAAATATCTTAATACCATGTCTACATGTGAAAGGAAAAAGACAAAAATTTAATTCTAAATAGTTCAAGGCAAGAAAATCTGAGATAAAAAATGGCATAGTTTCCTAACTAGAATTATCCATACATATCATCACTATCACTAATAAATATTTATCATATATAAAATTCAACAGGTGTTTGCTCTGCCTGTATTTATCAGTCTCTGCAGTAAAAAATCAATATCCTTAAGTACAAATGTGTCTTTATGCTTCACATATAAAATGTATAAAATGATCAAAGAGGACAAATAATTTTCAAGTAACATCAAATTATATCTTCTTATTGGCTCATATCTGATTCTAGTCAATGGCTCCTGACACTTTTAAGTTTTCTTAATTTCTCAATTAAGTCATTTACATTAAATATACTAAAGAAGCTTATTATATACATAAAGCTTTTGGCAAATCCTTTCATAACAAGACAAATAATTTTGTAACATGAGTAACCACTTCCTAATTTACCAGTTTAATGTGTTTGAATTATTTTTTTCAACAATGTATTATAAAATTTTCACACAAAGAAAAACAAAAAGAACTGCACAGTGAAAGTTTACTAGTATGCTTAGATTATTACTATTTATATCTTCTGAAAATGCAGAATACATCTTTCTGACCACTTTTTCAAAACCAACTCTCCAACTTAAAAAAAAAAAACTACAAAACTAAAAAGCATACTAAATATCTGGTTCCCAAATGCCTTTCCTGTTCTGTTGAATCTGTATGTAGCTATATTATGGATAAAAATTAGCCCCGACATTCTTCTCAAATGCTAATATATGTAGACCATAATTCTTTGAGAAGTATTCAACCTCAATTGAAATCATTAACTTTGCAAAATACTCAAGAATTATATTCTCTATGTATACACTGCATTAAGAGTAAACCAATAGGTGAACTCTATGGTATGTGAATTATATCTCAACAAACCAGTTATTAAAAGCAAAAGAGTGAATCAATAATAGCTGCATTGGTTCAAATGAACAGTCCAAATATAAAAGGATCCTCAGAAAGGATTCCAATGACGGAACATGATTCCTGATGGTACTAATGGAATAGCCACATAAAATATACTTTGAATTAGATTATAAACTAATGCTATCATTGGTACTTTAAATTATTAAAGTGTTTCTAAATTTCTTTATCCTCATTAAAATGTTTTGAATAGCTCTCTACATTAATACTGGGCAGGGATAGAAAAATGGGAAAGTGAACATTAGGAGAGATTACCATCAGGGTAATATTGCTGGTTCATGCCTTCTGGAGGACCTTGTCCACCATGACTGTATTGGTCCCCATAATAGTCTTCCTGGCCTGAGTACTGCTGTGATGGGCCCTGTTGAGGTGGTCTATAGGGAGGAATCTGTCTCTGACCCATCATGTGACTGCCTTGGTTAACTTGACCCATCATCCCCATAGGTGGTTGCTGTCCTTGGTAATGCTGCCCGCCTCCCTGTGGCATATTGTATTGCTGAGAAGGAGGCTGCTGATGCATCATCGGGCCTTGGTTTGGTTGCATATTCATATTTGGCCTGGGGCCATAGTTTCCCATAAGTTGTCCTTGACTCATTGTCATCTGATTCTGTACGGGCATACTCTGTGATGATGGCACGGAATGGTTGTAACCTCCCATGGATCCATGGTTACTTGAAGGCATATTCATAGAACTATTTGTCATATTGAGTTGATTGGGTCCAGGTCCCTGCATAGGCATATGATTAGGTCCAGGCATCTGGCCGTTCATCTGGTTCTGCATGTGTGGTGCAGGAGGACCCCCACCTACCATTCCATCTGAAGGCATGTTGTGAGAGCGTGGAGGTGGGGGAGGGCCACTCTGATTCAT